ATCCAATGAGCCAATTACGAGTACTGCCTGTCTCGCCCATTCACCCTTTTCATCGATTTATGAAAATATTTAACGTTATCCTAATTTGCTGTTAAAAATAACACCATCTATATTTATAGCACTAGTAAAAATACGTTTTTCCCACCAATTTAAGGACAGGTGAAATCAGGACTAGCAGTGCCATCTATGGACTGAGATATTTCACAAAAATATAGAAAATGAGTACTGCATTTCCCCCATTTTTTGTTCATTTTCCCCGGCTAAGTTTCTAAATGTTTTGCCCTTTTCACTAATATCCTTCTCTTGAGTCTGTAATTTCCTTTAAACAGAACTGTCTTTCTTAAATTTATCACTTGTCTTGAGCAACCTTGTAAGAAGTTTCATTTTAACCCAATATGACTGAAAAAGATTTAGAATATTTCAGATTAACCTCTTCGAATTATTACAGTCAGCTGAAGTCGTCCTGATCCATGGACTCATGGCATTAGTGACTGAAATTATGTGTTTCTTAACCCATTCGCACTGGTTGTCACGTATACGTGACATGCCCACTGTGAGTTTACTTGTTTAATTGTTTTCACACATAGATGGCTACACTTATACTTGTACTGCCTGTCTCGCCCGTTTACCCTTTTCTTTAATTTACAAAAATATTTTACGTTATCTTATTTTGCTGTTACTAATGTTTATAACATTATAGTAATTATAATGTTTATAATGTTTTTAATAATATCCATCGACATTCATAGTAAAAAATACATTTTCCCGCCAAATGAAATCAGGTAAGGCAGAGCTATCAATGTGTAGACATTTCACAAAAAGTGTAAGAAATGAGCACAGCATTTTCCCCCTTTTTTTTTTTTATTTTTACCCGTCGCAAATGGGTTAAGAGTATTTTATGTTTTGAGTGTAATAGTCGGATACCTGAAGATTTGTCATGGGGTTGATATTTTGGCGTTATTTTGATAGGAATTGTAATTGCATACTGATGCTTACGAAAATATTTTATCATTATTTTTAGCATGACTGTTTAGTTTGTAGATTTTAAAAGTTTATCAGATTGTCTAGAATTTTATGTACAGTTTTAGTATTAGACTGTATTTCAGACAAATTGGATTTTTTTTTTTTTTTTTTTTTTTTTTCCTTGGCTTGCACTTTCAGTCCATTTGAAGAAGTGACATATGGTATAAGAAAAAAACATAATGTAGCCTTGATGTATTTATTAAAGCTGTTGCTTGTTTACTCTAGGTTCACATTTATATAAACAGCATTACCATTTTTCCAGATTTACACTTTTTTTTCATTTCTATGATTTCTTCTGTTCTCTCTTTATATATCCATTTTCATTTGCTTTCATGTGTTTCTTAGTCTTAGTTTGTTATATATATATTTTTTTTCAATGTTAGTACTTCTTTCCCCTGTTATTAAATATTTAATGGTTGTTCAAACAATTTCTTTGGATGTGAATAAGGTAGAAAGGGTGATTTTCAAGTACTGTACTAAAGTTCTAAGACTGAATATTTTTGAAGTATTTTAATGTTGAAGATTGAACCTTCAGTAGTCCCTTTTTTGAAAAACAAATATATGTATATCATATACAAACAAACAAAAAACAGTTTTTGTGTTTGAATACAGTTTCCTGTGTTAATTATAGCCAACATAAACTACTCATTACTTTGTTTACATGTGGTCTAAGAATGACCCACACTAGAGAAAAATTTAATTAAAGTATAGATAAATACATGGGAATGCAGGGTGGTAATAAATTAGCTTCTTAGTATTGTGTAGAATGTGTCACAAAGAACTTTACATCTACCGGTAGTGTAGTTCATGACACAGGACTTCAGACACGACATGGATTAGTCTAGCTGCAGAAGTTGTAAATTCCTTCTACAGGAGGATATAGCAGTGCTGATTCCTGTCCTGGAGGACCTAAAACTACATGTCTTCAAGGCCCTGATATTGCCTATTCCGTAAAGTCATGTCTTGACACCTTTTATGACAGGTCTTTGTGGCAGAGTATGGGGTACAGAGTGCAAGATCGTGAGTACGCTCAATAGCTTCACTTCTCATGTTTCGTTTGTAGAATTCACTTTTCAATTTCAATGATATGTCGGGAAGGTAGGAAAGATATTTATTTCACAATGCTTGATTCATAAAACATTTTGATATCATTTGAAATACATCCAACCTTTATAACAGTGACATGTCAGTGTGTTATTAATACCCACTGATACCTTTTCTATATTTCTCAGAGTCTCTTAGGTTAATATGGATAGATTATGATAAGTTCACATTCCCCTGTTTCTCCTGTTTTGTTATATTATATATTTCCCCTTTAGAATAAAATGGGAAACAAGACTGAGGTATTTAATTCCATTTTTGAGTTTGATTATGATTTTGAAGTAAGATCTATTTTAAGGAGCATAATTAGGTAGGAGCTATTAATAAATGTGATTATAGGGACAGAGGACAGAGCAAGAGAGAGAAGGAGAAATGCAGTGGAGAGGAGGAGACCAGGTAAGAGAGGAGAGACAGAGAAAGGTGAGAACAAACAAGAGAGAGAAAAAAAAATTACTACTGCCACTACTTCTACTATTATTATTATTATCATTGTCATCATTCTTATTATCATTATTACTATTATTAGTGTCATCATTCTTATTATTATCATTATTGTTATTATTATCATCATCATTATTATCATTATCTTTATTATTATTATTATTATTATTATTATTATTATTATTATTATTATTATTATTATGGTTATCATTATTATTATCATCTATTATTGTTATCATCATCATCATTGTCACTATTATCATTATTATCATTACTATAATTATTGTTGTCATTATAATTATCATTATAATTTTTTTACTATTATCAGTAAAGCATCATCCTCACTCAATTTTTATCATTAGCATCATTATTATTAATATCATCATCATCATTATCATCATTATCATTATCATTATATTTATTCTTGTTATTGTTATTATTATTATTATTATTATTATTAATATTATTATTGTCATTACCATTATTATTACAATTATTATTACTGTTAATATCATTATTGTTATTATTATTGCTGTTATTATTATTATCATTATTATTATTATTATTATTTGTATTATTATTATTATTACTATTATCATTATTATTTTTTATTATTATTATTACTATTATTATTGTTATAATATTAATAATGATAATAGTAATTATAATTAGTATTGTTATTATCATTATTATCATTATTATTATTATCGTTATTATTATAATCATCATTATTACTTTATTATTATCATTATTGTTGTTGTTACTATTATTATTGCTATTATTATCATTATCATTATTGCTATCATCATATATGTGATGATGATATTAAAAGCAGCCTTAATGATAATCATAACAAATAGATAAATACATCCCGAAAAAGCGATATCAAAAATCACCTTTATTTACAGCGTGAGTGCCATGTATAACTAATGAACAGAATGGTCGAATAAAAGTGCATTTTATGAACAGCAATTGTGGACTCATTAGTTTAAATTCGTGAATGGAAAAGTAACGTTACATATATTCAATGTTTAATTAAGTCTTGTTACAACCGTGATTTAGCATTTATTGCCGTGAAAAACCTTTGCTTTAATTTTTCCTGTAATGGAAAAAAAAAATATATATATATATTTAGTATATATTAATATGGTATAGGTAGGTTGCACACACACACACACACACACACGCACACACACACACACACACACACACACACACACACACACACACACACACACATATATGTATATATATATATATATATATATATATATATATATATATATATATATATATATATATATATATATATATACATATATATATATATATATATATATATATATATATATATATATAAATATATATATATATATATATATATATATATATATATATATATATATATATATATATATATATATGTATATATATACATATATATATATATATATATATATATATATATATATATATATATATATATATATATATATATATATATATATATACATATGTGTGTGTGTGTCTGTGTGTGTATGTGTGTGTGTGTGTGTGTGTGTGTGTGTGTGTGTGTGTGTGTCTCTGTGTGTGTGTGTGTGTAGAAAGAGAAAGAGAAGAGGCCAAAGAAATATAAGCAAGAAAAAAAAAGTTTGAAAGACAGTAAAAAAAAAAGTTAGTCCCACAATCTACCTATGTTTGCAATGTACGACACACAATCCACTTCATAAAAAAATCTCCATTGTGGTCCGAGAGTGAACGGCATTTTGCAACAATAACAATGAAAATACAATTAAAGTTTTTTTTTCATATAATCCCAGGATTTTCTTCAATCTCGAACGCCACAAAATAGCATAATCAAAAAGCATTTTCAGATATTAAAGACGAGGATGGTCTAAATGGAAGTCCTTAATCATGAAAATGACGATGTATTTTCCCTCATTTTCTTTTCATACAGACTCCCTAATAATTCTTTATGAAAATGATGGAATTTAACCTCAAGCCATTTTTTT